AAATTACTTTTTTTGGGTTTGAAGTCCTTATTTGGCCTTTTAACAAAATATGTAAAAAGAAAAAACAAAAATAAATTTTTGATATTAATAATTTATTACAATGCGATAAGTCAAAATAATTTTTTGTGTAGTCTTCTGCCCTCTGTTATCAGATATATCTAATTGTGTACAATAGGATTTTGAGCAAAGTTTTTACCATTAAATTATGCAAAAAGTGTCAGACGAAAAACATTTCAGAAACCGTATGTATCAAATATGATACATTTGGCATTACAGGGTTAAAAGTATCATCTATGGTAGTATACAGTTTCTTTATAAGCTAAAGTGTTTTCTGCATTTAGAACATTTGATTATTGAGGTTCCAGCAAACACTGAGCATCAGTGGATCATTTGTGGTACGATAAAGGGAAAATACGAGTGCTCTAGAAGGAAGAGATATGTTCGTACTCGACAGAAAGGGAATGTTGATGGTCAGGTTTACGGCTGTGCCCATTAGTTACGTGGTTATCTATTGTTTTCTTCTGCAGGCTGTAACAGGGAATTATATTTGTACTGTATGTCTAGTAATGTGTTTCATGAAACCGTGTACTACACGACAAATGTTTAAACTAAAAAAACCTCAGTAGTTCTGCCTCTGGTATTTGATTTTTAAGACTTTTTTTTCTCATTTCTATCAATTACGTTAAGCTTGAAAGGTTTGATGAGGGAAAGTTAAATACCTTTTTTCTTACTAAGTGGGAGAGCTCTAATTATAAACAGCCTCCTTGTAATCCTGTGTTGGCGTTAACATTCCAGGCTTTCATCTGTGCCTGGCCAGAGGGTCTCCTGTGCCTCGCTGATAAAGGGCGTCCACTTCATACCGTTGGTATTAAAGTTCTCGGTTGAATGTGAAATTGCAGGAGTGAGGTGGTTTCTTCCAGTGTCCGGATTCTAAATCACCTCTTGGTTCTTTAAGTATTACAACAGCATACAAAGTATTTAGAAATAAGCTTTACCTCCATCATTGTATTTTCCTCCCTGAAGCGATCCATAATTTTAAGATTGTTTTTTATGTTTGGTGTTAAAATGCTTACTAATTTTAACTGTGATTTTCATTTATAGTATTTTCAAAGCATTTTTCAAACAATATGTTAACTTTTTTAACCTATGCTATTATCTCCCCATCTTTTATTACATCACGTTTCTTTTGGGCTTTATAGCCTGAGACATTTACCTCCTGAGATTAGATAGTTTTTAATTTTTTAGCAAATGTTTTAAAGGATTCCACTGTGAAAGTGAATAGAACGAGGTACTGTTACGTTACTCTAGCTGCAACCTTGTTTTTTTGTTTACATTGTTGGGTCATTTAACCTTTGTGCCGTTTTTTGCAAAGATGTTCAAAAATGAAAAGGATATCATCCATTAGAACAGTTAAAGATGTTCCATACCCTCACTGGAAACCAGTAACTTCACAGAAATCGCCAGTTTATTGTAAGGTCATAAGGTTTTAGGACTCGGATAAACTGGAAGAACTGCAATTAATGGTTTATTTGAATTCTACTGTATGTTAATGTTTGGGTACAAATTGAGTTATGTTGAATAAATCAACCTGTGAGCTAAAAGGGTGATTTGAAAACATAAACTCTTATGAGGGCTAATATTTTATTTGTGATATGAAATATGATTTTCAACTGCTGCCTCAGTTTTCTGATTTTGCATAATGTTTTTTTTTTTTTTTTAATCATACTTGTCTGAGAAAAATTTGCCTCTATAAGCCAGTAGCATTGCCCTTCTTACTACCCCCCCACCCATTTTTTTGGTCAACTTTAAGCTTGTTAAAATTATTTTTCTGTTTCTTTTAGTTTCAAGATTAAAACTACATTTGCTTTCAGTGTAAAAGAAGAAAAAGATTGCGTAGACGAGTGCAACTAGAAAGATCTGTTCATTTTAATTCTGTGCTGATCTATTAGACAGCTTCTCTTCCTGTACTTTGCACTACAAAGGGCAACACTGTGGAGGATGCTCTCCAGTGCTTGGCTTCAAATAAAACATAATACCAAATATTGATTCTGTTTGCATCTTTTTTTTTATATACCATAAATTGGTCCTTTAGTCTTCTGAAACCAAACTGCATACATTTTAATCACTTGATATCAATCACCACTAATCAGTCTTCCTTCCTGTGTTCATCTTAATACCCTTACTCTTATTGTGTGCTGCATAGTTTTTTTTTTTCTGGGACCACCCCCGTGTCCCAAAAAGCAAAAACATGTCTAAACTACAATTAAAATAGAGAGAAAACAGACATTGCATTTCTTTATTTTCATTTTTAACCAAGGTTGTCTAAGCAAACACTGAAATCTGATCTGGGCTTCGACATCCAAACCAGTTTTCTCATTATAGATTTCAGACAATCAACAAGAAAACAAAATCATTACTCCTAGATTAAAGAGAAATCTAACAGTATTTAAGCAATTCGCAACTTAGGAGCCTGTGGAAAGAAAATCTATAAATGTCAAGCAACCGCTATAAAACAGAAATGATATACATATACACCATAGGCTTATCCAACAGTTAATGACAGCAGAATTTCAGTGCTGTCAGGAGATGTCAAATGTGTCTGCAGAGTATGGAGAGGAGAGTGTCCCTCCTCTGTCCCTCTGCATCCTCCTGTAAAGGTCGTAGCCTCTCCTCTCCTCTTTCGCCCTGTGCTTTAGCATCTTCACATACATTTGGTACACAGCCAGGTGAAGGCAACAGTGCACCTGTGGACACAACGAGACGCAGTACAAAACAATGTACAAAACACCCGGACCCAGGCTTCTGGCCAGGAGCCAGGGAGGAGCGAGTAAACAAAACAGGGACTGACTCCAGATTCATTTTTTTTTTTTTTTTTAAGGCAGCATGATGACATTATTTCAACTGTTCCATTTATTTATTTTTTAAATTTCTCTACCAAAACACACAAAAGCAAAGGAAAAAAAAAAAATTACAAACAAGCTCTCCAGAAATAAAAAAAAAACTCACAGCTAAGGACGGTTTAATCTGTATAAATCCTTTGCAAAAAGATTTTCTCCCAGTGTTGATCAGAAGAGAAGTTCTGTATATTCAGATTTGCTTAATGCTCCCATTAAATCCATCTTTATTAGCTTGGACTAACGATGCAATGGAAATGTTGGAGAATTTAAAAAGGAAATTGCTGCTAAGGTTGAATTTAATATGAATTTTGTTTAATCCACTGATGCCCAAATAATACAGACAGTCCAATAATATCAAGATAGTACAAAAAAAGCCCATCACATTTTTGCAGCCATCAACCAGATTCTAGCATCATTTTTCTTGGATATTTGACCGCCTTTTTTTTTTCTTTTCCCTTTTCTCTCAACAGAACAGTAAAGCTAATTTAAATTAGTCGTATTTCCTCTGAAAGACCTAGCTCTTACTCTAGCTCCTGTCCTTAAATTTCCAACAAAGTTGAACTCTGGACCATTCTTTTTTTTTTTTTTTTTTTTGTTTTTTCGAGTTGGGACTTTTTTTTTTTTTTTTTTTCCTTTTCGGTTTTTTTTTTTGTTCTTTTTCCTTTTGTTTTTTGGGGTTCTTGCCCTTGCTTTTGGTTCGCTTTTAATTTTTTACGGCCTTTTTTTGGGTTCCCTTCCGGCCCGGCCCACCACCTAAAGGCTTGGTTTTTTTGGGGTTTTTGGGGTTCAAAAACACAGATTCCACAGCCATTGCGCTCTTTAAGAGTCAGTAATTTAAAAAACTTGCAGCGTAACCAGAGTTGTTCTGAAATGCCCAAGACAGAGCCCTGGAAGGGGGGCCCCAGATGTCACACAAAGGGCCGGTATGCATATTTTTTTTTTTATAAGCGCGCTGGTGTGAATTTGAGTGTAGCTTGGACAAATTTGAGCGAAGCAACCCCACTGGAAAAACGATCTAGAAATAAGTAAAAATGTCTTAAATTAAGTGTATTTATCCTTAATTTGAGTAAGTAAATGAGATAGTTTGCCAATGGAATGAGTATTTTTATTCTTAAAATAAGATAATTAGATAATATGCACTTGGAATAAGACAATGCAGTTGTGTTTTCTTATTTTAAGTGTAAATTGTCTTGTTCGATTGGCAAGATATCTCTTTTACCTCCTCAATCCAAGAACAAATGCACTTATTTTAAGAAAAAATGACTTATCTAGATGTGGATTTTTTTCCAGAGAACCCTGCAATGATTTCAAACGTAGATCCTAATTGTCGATTAGCCAAGGTTGATCCTGGCTTAATTACGGTAACTTTTATCTTATAGTCTGGTTCAGATGCGTAAAAGTCTATCAGAATGTGATGTTTCATCCAGAACATGACCCCAAACATACAGCACAACTGGTTTTGGAATGGATAAAACAGATTAACCTATAGCTTCTGGAATGGCTTTGACCTCAACCCTGTTGAGAAGTCACTGAAAAAAAACTGAAAGCTCATTCTAGGACACTAACTAAACAATTATTTAAAATTATTTAATGTATTAATGTAATTTTCTGTATAATAACATCCTGAAAAAAAGTTCAAATGCATCATCAAAAGGCTAAAATATATACGGCAGATGTGTATGTAAACTTCTGACGTCACTAGAAATGTTTTAGTAAATTCAGCTACAATTAGTTAAGTTGTGTTATACAATAACTACAACAAAATTGCTAACGATTAAAACAAAGCAATTCTTTTATCATAAAAAACAAAACTCAGTCATAATAAGCAGGAAACATTTTGGTGTGATATCAGGAGGTTACTTTATAATTAAGCACCTAGTGCTTTAGCCATCCCACATTGAGAGACATTTACAGACCTTACCAGATCTAACAATTCTGAAATTAATCTCTGATGCCATTTATTGCCTCCGTTTGAAGCAAGGCTACAGGATGGTCACAGAAATTTAACCCTGTCTTTGTCCAGAGAGCCCTCTCCTTTGAGACGTAATACAACCCCTCTTGCAGAGACTCGCAGTGCAGGTGGCCCCTAGCAGAGGCTTCTTATTGGCTCGATTTTCTAACTGGCATGACTCCATTGTTGCTTTTTTTTCTCCCGCCCGTGAGAAAAGTCCTGAGGTCAGAGCGAGACCGCTAGACTGTTTGTCTACTCCAATAGCAACCAGATGTGAGGCGTGGTGGCCATGCTAACCTTTAATCCCTTGTTCTGCTCAGCAGCTGTATGCTGCTATAGGATTTTTTTAGCCTATGTTTTAGTAAATTAGTACTCTGTTATGATTTGTCTGCAACTGATGGCAGAGATAAACATCGGAGTGATGCAACAAAGAATATAAGACCTGCTTTAAATCACAGCGTCAATTGAAACAGAGAGAAAACATACAAATTCTTATAAAAAGTAGGATAAAATAGTATCTTCTAAAGTCCATGACCATAGGTAGTTCTGTGCAGGTGAAGTGAAAGGATAGAGGTGTCGCCGTTCCCTTCAGATCCCCTTGTAGATGTCAGAGTGGTGACTGAGTGGACAGGAAGCCGGGTGCCTAACACCTTCCACCTATGCCCTTTCTCCCAAGATACCGCAGAACGGCAAAGTTATAGGTGCTTGACACAGTATAGGTCAGCTATAGAGAGACAAGGAGAAGAAAGATGAGGAGACCCAGGATATCTACAAACATAACAACAAGACATGATGGTGCTAATAGTTTTAGATTAATATAACAGCTCCTGTAATGGAGCATGCAAGTATAATGGCTGCATGCTTGGCTAGAACACCGCCAGACATTACAGCTCTATTATGCTGTCTGTGTCAGCTGACAAAGAGGAACAGAGAGCAACAGTACAAGAGTCATCAGTCATGGAGGCCCGAGATGCCTCTCTGCCTACACTTTGAGCGTTAGTCACATGAGCCATGACGTGGTTTTTGTACCCTGACCTGGCCCTCGGCTTCGACACTTACCAGAGCCAAGAGAGTGACGCCAGCCCCGGCGAAGGCAGCGATGTACAGGTTATAGGTCGTCTGATACTAACAGGAGGAAATCAGAATGATTATTTTTTTTTCCCATTTCCTGTCAGACCAGTGATGAAATGAAACAGACACTAAAGTTTGAGTTCTTACCTCTCTGGTTCTGCAAATATTGGACAGGGTCATACCACAAGCTTTTCCTGGTATTGCATTCCATGGCAAGAGTCCTGAGAGGGGGAAAAAAAACAAACTCAATTTACTTCTAATTGAATTACATAGATACAAACAGAAATATAAATATATTACTGTATTTCCTCGCTGTCAACAATCAATCACTTTTTTTCACTTTATATTTATGCACAGTGGGCCTGTGCTCTGACAAGGTTGCAAGTACCCGGTTTGATCCCCACAGCCTGCACTCTCGGTCCCTGAGCAAGACCCTTAACCCCACACTGCTCCCTAAGGGAATGGGTTAAATGCAGAGGTAAATTTCTCCAGTGTGAGATCAATAAAGTTCAATTATTTATTTAAAACAATCCAAACAGGACAGGCTATAAAAGGGAAAAAAAACAAACATTAAAATCTGTACTGATCTTATTGTAATAAGGTTACAAATCGCTCAGTGGAGCAATGTGTTGTGAATGTATTTCCAGCTGAAATTGTTGGCTTACAATTCTTTTGGCACTTTGGGGAGTCATTTAGGATCCCTAGAGCATGAAGGATGTTTGAAAGTTGTTGTTTTACCATCCGAGTTGCTAAATTAGATTCCTTGGAAATGCTGTTTCTAATGTTTGCACACATAATTCTGCATTCATGTCTTGAACGAGTCAAAAGCTCTTATGATTTCAGTTATTTGCAATGTAAGCAGATCCAAAATGTATGTCAAACAAAAGTATAGAGGACAGAATTTCAAGAGCTTTCCGTTAAGTTTAAATCTTTTAACAGGGAACACACAAGAAGTGCTGCTCTTTAGTTGTGTTTATTTCCGTTTATGTTTGAAGTCATTAATCTAGGAATGAGATCATAACATATGTAACAGTTTCAAGTTAAAGAACTATAGCGACCAGCAGGAAAGCTAAGTTAATAAGCTAACAACCATTTCAAATACAAGATAACAACAAGCAGTACAATCAATTTGCTTCTTGGCGGAGGTCTCTGCTCTGCGAGTGCTTTTCTAGTTTGTTGTTGTTTTTATTTCTACCCAAGCTGCTGCAGACAACAAATAGAAAATGTTTATAGGATTTGGGTTGTTAAGAGAACTGCAAATTGATTCATTTCCTTGTGTACCGGTAGATTATGCTCACGAATGGGATTTCAGTATTCGAATGATCACGCTTTAGGATAATGGCCAACCAATTCATATCAAATGCTGTCTGCACAGAGCAGATTCACTGGTATTTTCACCTGAACGATAAGAACGAACCTAATTAAATCTATACATTTACATTGTATAAAGTTGCCAAAACACAGATGTTACCGTATTGCCTTGCATCAACACAGAGCTGGTTGATACTTGCTGGCGTCTCGGTCAGAATGTCTACAACGCGGCAAGTTGCTTCCATGTTGTAGAAGAAGTAGACCGGCAAGGCCGAGAAGGCAAACACCAACAACCACAGCACAGCAAGAACGTACGTCATCACTATAAACTGCACAGAGACGTCACACATTAAGAGGCAGCACAAAAATGCACAAAGATTCCTGTGAGCCTAAAAGATTCTCAACATCCACAGGAAGCCAATCTCCCAGTTCCCTTTAACTTGTACCACTCTGGACCTGCTCACCGAGGAGCTGAGGCAGCGGCCACACATTGTGCTCCTGAACTCTCCGAAGGTTTGCTTGGCAACATTTGTGGTGTAGAAGCCCTCAGCCAGTAGCGCGATACAGTAGAGGAAGAAAAAGGAGGCCAAACCATAGATGACATACTGGAAATACTGAATGCTAAAAGAGAAAAAAGAACAGATAAAAAGGAAGGACTTTGCAAAATCTATACCACAAGAAAAAGAGAGTAAACCCCATAAAAAACAGCTTACACGTAGGCAAGAGTGATGTACTCTTGAAGGTTTCGGGCGAAATACGTCTCGATGAGTCTCTCTGTTTCTGTAAGGGCCTGGTGACCGCAACCGCAGAACAGGGCAATGCCAGAGAAGCAGAGCAGCGTGGCGATGAGGGAGCAATATGGCACCCCGCCCAAACAGCGCATACAGCAGTCATAGCAACCTGGTAGGAAGGAAAAAAAAACCTAGTAATCAGTATACATTTACAGCTTTTTCATTACGTTTTTTCCCCCTATGAAAAGAATCAACTTAACAAATTAACTGGGCAGGAAGAAGGAAAAATAATCTCAAAAATGAAATATCTGTGAACCAGAGAAGGTATATATATATATATATGAACCATAACTCAAAACTGGCTACCTCAGCAGATAGCCCAACTATCAGCCATTCTGTACTTAAAAACTATCAAATTTAGTGTGTGTTTATAATACAATTTTACTTAGGTTTGTGTATTCAAATTTAAAATAGTAATAAATAAATATAATATTGATGCTATAACTGTAATAATTGGCAGTGTAACAACATTATGTGGCACAAAAATCTCTGATGAAAGTTAAGTCTGCCCAGAAAGTTCGTATTCATTACGAGTAAGATTTGTATGCATCTAATGACCATTATAGTATTTCTATCAAAGTAGTTTTTGAGATTATACCATTCGGATATAAAGAAAACTGAAAGTCAAACACAGGCTGACAATTATAAGCACTGAAAACACTTTTGTCATCAAAAGATATAAAATTATATCCAACAATGATGATCTGCCCGAAGGAGATTACCTATTATTTAGGACAAACAGGATCACAAATAAAATATATGGAGGGGCCATTTTATGAAAGCAAAGCCTTTAAGATAATACTGCAAAATGTAATTATGTGGGAGATTTGTGTATATTAATGCCAGTTTATTTATATAGAAATGCACAGAAGGTTAAGGTATACAAGTATGAAATTATTTGTTTTTATAGCCATGAAATGGAAGTAGATGGAGAAAATGGTAATGTGTAGACGTGAGAGATGGGTGCATTTGACCTCCACAAGTTTGAAATTAGTTTGCCTGGCAACATTTTTTACACTCTGTATATAAAAAAGAAACAGAGAGCAAGATATTAATGTTATGTGTAATACAAGCTACGTGGCTGCCAACAATGTAAAAGGTGGCCTTCTGCTTTGAATCTTCCTGACTGAGCTAAACTAAATGGCTTCATTCAGATTAAACAACCATATGGGCCTAAAGACAGTGGGGATTTTAAAATATTGCTAAAAAAAATTATTTCTTTCAGTTTTAAATGGGTCAATGACATTCATTCAAAAATATCATAAATATTTCAAGTAATATTTCAAACATTTTGACCAGAAACTTTGACTAGATCATGTTGCAGAACTGTTCCTTTGAAAATGTACCATCCCAACAACTGTGATGTGCAGTTTAAATAAAAAGGGCCAACGATACAAGGGAAATGCATCTGCCTGGACCCCACCTCTCACACCCTGACTCCATTCACTACCCTGCAATGAAGAGTGTGAGAAAAGCAGGAGGACAAGGGACTGGAAACACAGCAAGGCAGAGATGGAGAGAGGCTGCTTTTGTGACTGCAGAGACAACAGTCTTTGTCCCAAAGCATTGTGGGGGCACAAGGGCCACCAATGTCAAGCAAACAAAGGCCAGAGGCACCTCTTTGCTTTAGACACACATATGCACACACACAGACTTCCTTCTGAGGAGACACAGAAAGGTTGGGGGAAAAAAAATTATAGAAACTGGGGTGTTGCCAAGGCTGAAGGAGGATGGAAATCTGAATAAACAATGCAACTTGTGTACATGTGTGGCTTTGCACACAGATGGGCACAATGGGAGCAGACAGACTGTGGTTGGTACCATTACAGTAAACACAGATGGCAGGAGGGGCAAAGCGATAGCTCTCTAATTGAATATATTTACACCAGCTTAGTTGGCTGTGAAACAGAGACACAGGCCTGTAAACTGACCTCTCCCAACCAGGTAGGATATCAGGCTGACTTTAAATCCACCCGGCTTAAAAAGTAAAAAGACAAACTCTCTTGCTAAAACACAAACCTCACAGCTCAACGCTGCTTATACACTGAAAAAAATAATACAACTTAATCCTATTTAGTTCCTTTAACACAATAGTTTCATGTTAGCAGTGTATGACATAAAACAATTGTGTTAAAGTAACTAAATAGGATGAAGTAAATGCCAAAAACTTGCATTTTTTTGTTTTTTTTTCAGTGTAGTCGCACCTTGATTCCAATTAACCAATTAACGAGCAGCGGCTGTGCCCCAGTGGCTTTAAATGAAAACATTGAGAAAAAAAAAATAGGTGTTTGAAAATGTAAAGCTGTGGCTATAGCTCCCCACTCTAAAATGGAGAAAGATTGCAATCGAAAGTAAATGCGACAAGGCTCCTCTTAAAGCAGCCCTGCCATCTGAAGCATGAAATAAATCTCATAATATGAGCGGCGCGTCAGGCATTGATAGCTGCCCTCTAAACTGGCAGAAAAGACCTTAATAACTTCTGACGCTCCCTCACAGGCCCTCTCACATCATCGCGCGATCACATGTAATCAAACAGAGATTTGATTTAAAATAAAACGGAATCTGCAGAAAAGAAGAAGAAAAAAAAAGGGAAAAGGTTTGAAGTTTCTTACCCATGTTTGATATGAAGAGTTGAAGAGTTGACTCCACCGCAGATCTGCTGGTAATGCGCGTCTCTCTCTCGCCCTCAGTCCCTCTATATCAATCCCTCAGCCCCCAAACAATGGACAGGGCCCACGATGAGTGCAAGTGCAACTTTAAAGAAACAATGTCGCTTTTCAATGAACTTCAGGGCGAGGGATAATGAAGAGGTCAGGGCTCCTCTACTTGCAGATGTTAAGGAAGGTCATTGTTGATGCTGATTTGCATGAAGGGGGGCGACGCGCATCTTATGCAAATTCAGAAGGCTTGGGTTTTTGTTTCCATGGAAAAAGTTTTATTCAGCAGACCAGTAATCAAACTCAGGGGATTATTTGCCAAGATGTAAACCTAATGTTTCCCATGTGGCAATTTCCAAATCACAGTTTTATCAATACTAATCTGAATGTACACCAACATGTCAATCTTAATAAATTAGGATGCCATCAGAAAAAAGTTAGATGAGGTCAGAACATACACAACTTTTTACAAAAATACAGTCAGGTAAAATGCAAAAGAAAATTTTCACACACAAGTCCCGTTAGTGTTGTGCAATTGCCAGAAATGTGAAGCCTGTTTCATGCGGCTAATGCAAAACTTTTTAATTATCTCAGTAGATCTGTATTTATGTTTCTTATAAAGTATGAATGTCCTGATCTTGATGAAGGTTAATGTTCTTGCCACCCTGAGTAAACAAACATTTCGTGGTTCTTGCAGCATCTTTAGTCCTGTGTAGCTTTGGTTGTAATAATAGCAGCTTTAACTCTCTGTTTTGTTGACTATCTTGTTTCTACTTTCTCCTGAAAAGATTCATAGATTTTCTATTTGATTTAGGTCATGGATCCTGTACACTTTTACTCTCTGCCTTGAATCTAAGACTGAATTCAAAATGAAATGCAAAGAGGAAAAGAGGACTCTGGACCTTTAAAAGGGTTCCGTTTCTTTTCTCAATCATGCTGATTCTGACATTGTCTCTGGTTCAGGAGAAGCTTTACACAGGAATGCAATCAGTTGTGTAGCCTATACCCTGGATATATTTATGACTATAGAAGTTCAGCCACAGTCCCCACCTTGTTCATGCCCCCCAAACTTTGAAGTCCTATTAAAAAGGTTTTCCTTACACTCAACTTCTATTGATATGTTTGGTTACAGCTGTCTGTGAACACCATTTAAACAAATAACCTTAGTCTTCTAATTCCCTTGGTCCTACACCTTAGAAATTGACTTTCAAAATTATCAAAGAATACTGGAAATATGGCACTATAACCACCAGGATGCCATCATGGCAGAGATGGGAAGTAACGAAGTACAAATACTTCGTTACTGTACTCAAGTAGATTTTTCTGATATTTTTACTTTACTTTACTACTTATTTTTATGGCGACTTTTTACTTCTACTCCTTACATTTTTACACAAATATCTGTACTTTCTACTCCTTACATTTAAAAAAATTGGCTCGTTACTTTAGTTTTGAATCATTTCAATGGAGTTACCGTTATTATTTTTCACGTCATCAATACCAAATTCAGTCTAATTGGATGGGAATCTACGTTGCATTTGACGCACCACTACAAGATGAATCGACAGATTCGGCGGTATTCATTCGCGGCAAATCATTGCAGCTTGGTGGCGGTGGCGTTAGCATAGTAGCATGAACGACGAGATGATTGAAAATGAACACAACGGAGATCTAGTCCTATTGGCAGACATCCATTTAAAATGTAGGCAACGGCATGAAAAAAGTGGTTTCTACTTTTACTTTTATACTTTAAGTAAATTTACAAGCCTGTACTTTGTTACTTTTACTTGAGTAAAAAAGTTTATTCAGTACTTCCACTTTTACCAGAGTATTTTTTAACACAAGTATCTGTACTTTTACTCAAGTACGGAAAGTGAGTACTTTTGCCATCTCTGCATCATGGGGCTGTTGTTTTTCAGTATGCCTGGGTTATGGTCTATCTGTCCCTATCAACTAAACTCAACAAATGAAATAAAAAATAATATATGAGGTTCACTTTTTAAACAAAGTTATTAAATATCTTGAAGAAGTTCACTTTAGGCTACTGAATTTGAGGTTTTCCAAAAGGGGTTCTAGAAAATTCACAGATATGTTTTCGAAATAAGCTATTTCTTTAAGACATGAGATATGACTGTACCACAGATCATCCCACATACCGGTAATTAAAATAATCACAAAGAATAACTTTTTTTCAAAAATATTATAGCACAACCTTTCAGTAATTTCAGTGGTCAAATGTTAAAAAAGTATTTTTTTATTGAATAAGAGGATTCATACAATTTGATACAGACTTCTGAATTTTAAGGAAACAACTCAAAACCTATTTACATAAATAACATGATCATACGGAAGACGATGAGGGCCACTGAAAAAATAAAATAAGTTAACTATTTTTTAGATATTATTTCAGTTTAATATAGGGAAAAAAGTCAGAATTCTGAGATTAAAGTCAGAATTGTGAGAAAAAAGTCAGAATTCTGAGAAAAAGTCTAAATTCCTAGAAAAAAAGTCAGAATTCTGACTTTTTTCTCATACTGAAATAAAATTCAAAAATCAGTTAACTTTTTTTTTTCAGTTTCCCTAATCCTCTTTCGTATGATAATAAATGTGTTGCTGGTAGAAAGAATCTCGTGCAGATAGTCAGTTGACGCTGCTCTTCAGACTGAGTAAAACAGTCAGATCCTGTTTATGAGATAGAATCAAGAACATAAGAAACCGCCTCAGATTGTTCTGCTATTGAACCTGATTTGTGTTTCATCTTCGCCATCTTTAACGGTGTGTTATGCTCTTGAATGTTCACAAACAAAAAAAAATCAAGGATAGCTGAAAGCCAGATGATTAGACAATTGAGAGGCAGCGAGGAGTAACGAGTATCTGAATGCCTCTTGGTTCTTAAATAAAACAGAAAAACAACAATAAAAAAAAATAAGTGCAATTTCTTTTTTCTTTATCCACACAACTCATATATGGCATGATAAAAAAAAAAAAAAAAATCTCCCAAAATGCAGCCACCAAAAGATCCTCAGGGCATTTGGATCAATTGTTGCTCTTATTCTACAATTAAAAATTGGGCTTGAATAGATAAAGTGAAACCTGAGAAAAACAAGATTCCGTGAGAACAGAGCAGAGCAGCAGGGATGCATCACTGTTCTCAGGCAATATGACAGCTACAAAGTGAGAGACTGTCTTCTGATTCATCCTCTCCCTCTTGTTCAAATTTCACAAAGAACAGGATTTGCCATCATCTGCATCCACTAGATGGCAGACTTTCCTCTGACAATTTTTTTAAACTGCTTTTTAACTTCGTACAGCAAGATACATATATATATATTTTGAAGTAAACAGGTTTTTATAAATCATCTAAAACGAATTGCTTCAAAGAACAATTTGTGAGAAGAATGTACATATCTTTATCATAAATACAACAAATGACTTTATCTTGTAATCCAATGGAGTTTTTAATTTCCTTTGTAAAGAGGCCAGTTTAATTTAATTCCTAATTTGGTTTTGGAGCGCCTTATTTGATCCCAGTTAACGTAGTTATCCTCACAGTGCAGGCCTTATTAGATTATTTATTTTTTGAAGCAGCGAGCTCAGACATCCTCAGAGACACAGCTCATGTTATACAAGCCTTGTTCTCCTCTAACCAGGTTGTTGTACATTGTGTATTACAGGCTCCATCTCCTTGCTTTCTTTCCTCATCACATAGGCCTACCCTGAACTGTGTTAAAACAGTTCCCCCTCCCTCTCTGTTGCAATTGTTTGCTCTCAAATTTGTAAACACATTGTACCTTAGCTCATTCATATTTAATGCAGAATTTAACCTGCTTGAGATCTAATTTGTATTTCCAAATCTATCTAAACACTATGCCAGCTGCTATTTGTAAATACATCTTTAAGTAGATTGTGACTTCACTCTGAGCTTCAGGTATTAAAACAGAAACCTAGTGGGAAACACGTAGAACAGTGTTTTTTTCTTTCTTTTTCCTTCCCTTTGGGTGCGATCCAGCCATGTGGGTGAATACTGGAGTTATCAGGTAACGGCTGGAAGGCGGAGACTTGAGATGTTTGTGTCACTCGGCTGTTCGTGGCTGCTCTTAAGTCACGCAGCTTGTCCTGGGGTTACTCCTTTAGACACTTTCATCACTTCCCCTCAGAAGGAACATTAAACCCTTTTGTATGTCTAAATACTGTAGGATCCCCATCAGTCAAAGTCAACAATCTGAGACAGGCCCCAAAAAAATCTAGTTGCACAGCTACCTTAAGTTCCATGCTCTCTTGGGACCTCTTAGGCCTGATAAAGCAACATTACCTCTTACTTGCTGTGATGTGTGCTATCACTCACTGGCTTTACTGTGCACATCATCCGTGACTAGTTATGTCAATGATGTTAGAGTTTGTGAGGAGAAATGCTTCTCTTATCAGTTCTTTCTCTGGACACATTTTGTGGGGTCCTTATCAAAAACCTGTTAGATTTTTCTCTTCTTCTGAATACAGAGTAATTGCAGAAGCATGTAGGGCTTTTTTTCTGAGCCGCACAAAGCCCATGACAAACGCTCTCAAATTGTTTAATTCTCTGACTGTTTTCATCCTTGAAACTGTGAGCGAGTTTTCTCACTGCTTGCTTTGAGCTGTTATTCATCAGAGTAATATTTTTCTTTGAGTCTGAGTGGAATCTCATTTTCTTCTGCTTGTCCGTTCTTTTTTTTCCGTGGACATTTTCTGTGTTTCAGATACAGACAAACTGTTGTCATAAACAAAACCATGGTTACTATCGTCAAACTGGGAAGGAGATAAAAGCATATCGTTTTCATAGATCTGTCAGGTTCTTCCACACAGATTGGCGACTTAGAGGCACTTGAAAGCAAATCAGATCTCCCGGTCCATGTAGGTGCCCTGTCTAAATGACACTGGTCTGTGCTCTCATTAACCAACAAGTTAAACCAGACAGTGGAGTAAAGAGGAGTTGGTTTCCCATTATCTCTTATTACAATGAACAGGTGATGCATTCCCATATCTTCCTTTAAAAGTGCCTGACTTAAGGTGATGTTCCCTGATTTTGAGTCAACCTGGAAGGGGCTGTTGTTCTGAACTGACTCTGGCGAAACAA